CGGACAACATCATCACTAAAAAATCAAAGATTTTTTTTTCTCTACTTTTTGCACATCTTTTTGTAAAAAATCAAAAGTCATTCCAAACATAAGCTTGTTTGGTTCCAGTTTTTAGAAAACAATTTTCAGAAAATTCTACTTTTTTTAATTTTTTGTATTTTAATATTTTCAATGAATTTTTTTAAATATTTTAAGCATTTTTTTAAAAAATTTTAGACACATTTAACATAAATACATTTAAAAAGTATAACATTTGTGAATTTTTTTTAAATATACTATATACAAAAAAATACAAAAAAATAAAATAAAAATTCAACACATTTTTCGTATTTTTATTTATTTATAATTTTTTAAAAATATTTTTTCAAAAGTATTTTACTATTTAGATACATCTAAGTAAGGTGTATTTAAAAAAGTAAAAAAATTGCTTAAAATTTAAAAAATATTAACTAAAACCTAAAAAATATGAAAAAAAAAACTCAATTTTCAAAAAACTGAAACCAAACACACTGATTAGTTTTTACCTCATATTTTAGCTAAAAAGTCAAAAAATTACAAAAATAGCTTGTTTCCAAACTAGACCTTAGTGTACTTTTTATTTTTTTAAGATTTGATATATTTTCCATTTAAAAGTCATAAATTAAGTGATATTAATTTTCATGTATTTATTTATTTTTGCTTGAACAAGAGTTAGCCAATTGATTTTTTCTTAAATTTTTTAAAATAAAAAAATTATGGAATTTAAATTGGGAACTTGGAACTCTCACAAAACTTGTGAGTTAGAAGCCCAATTTCCTTTATATAATATAGATTTTTTTTTTAAAAAGTCAAAAAATTAACTTTTAACCTACTTCTCAAAATAGGCTATGTTTTGAGCTACGTAGCATAATTCTAACAAAAATTAAACAAAATAAAAAAAAATTTGCAACTTTAGGATGACAACTCTTTTCAATCATAATAGTATATATAGATTTGTAAAAGGTTTTGAAACTCTCATAATATCTCTTCTTAAAAGTATTTTTTTTGCAAAACATAGAAATAATCTCAATGTCACATTTATTGCTCCTAAATACAAAAATTATGAGTTAATTATGATAATTTTAAATTTGTATTTAAAACTTACAAATCATGGGGTAGATCATTGTAATTTTAAATTTAAATTAATAGATTACTTTCCATATGTAGTGACCCTCAAATTTGAATTTTGAAATTGATTAGGCTTCGTTTGGCATGTGAGTATTATAGCTAAAAAGTTACTAAAAAAATAAAAAGCCTATAACCTATACTAAATGACATGGATAGGCCCACGAGGCATACGGCCCACAGCAAACCACCCCGAACCCATCGCTTAGGACCAATAGCATAACCCAGTTGGCAAAGCCCAGGACAACTGGAGGCCATCTAGACATGGGGGGCCAATGGCACTCGGGCATATGGCAGGTGGAACACGGGCCACATCAGTAGACAAAGATCTGCAGAGTTATTACCACAACACATCACCATTAATGCATCCCATCACAGCATTTATTACGACAACACCCCCCGTCGGAACAGAGCCCCCTCACCCTGAACAAGGTAAGCTACGGCACAAGCTTTCGGCGGAAGGGGGGCACGTCACAAGGGACAGTGAAATGATTACCAAATGATATAAGCAAGAATAGAAAGACAAGAGAAAGGTTAAGTTTTTTATCTATCCATCTCTCTCTCTACATTTCCTTCTTCCTCTACTAATTCTCACGCCGGAGGGTTCATTGGGGGACTGCCCCGTTCCCCTTTGGACTTGTATGCAGGTCATTTGACGGAATCACCACCCTAAACCGGAACTTGAAGAGCCTGGACCAACCCGACCCATCCACCCGGGACGGACAGCATCATCACTAAAAAAGCAAAGATTTTTTTTCTCTACTTTTTGCACATCTTTTTGTAAAAAATCAAAAGTCATTCCAAACATAAGCTTGTTTGGTTCCAGTTTTTAGAAAACAATTTTCAGAAAATTCTACTTTTTTTAATTTTTTGTATTTTAATATTTTCAATGAATTTTTTAAATATTTTAAGCATTTTTTAAAAAAATTTTAGACACATTTAACATAAATACATTTAAAAAGTATAACATTTGTGATTTTTTTTTAAATATACTATATACAAAAAAATACAAAAAAATAAAATAAAAATTCAATACATTTTTCGTATTTTTATTTATTTATAATTTTTTAAAAATATTTTTTCAAAAGTATTTTACTATTTAGATACATCTAAGTAAGGTGTATTTAAAAAAGTAAAAAAATTGCTTAAAATTTAAAAAATATTAACTAAAACCTAAAAAATATGAAAAAAAAAACTCAATTTTCAAAAAACTGAAACCAAACACACTGATTAGTTTTTACCTCATATTTTAGCTAAAAAGTCAAAAAATTACAAAAATAGCTTGTTTCCAAACTAGACCTTAGTGTACTTTTTATTTTTTTAAGATTTGATATATTTTCCATTTAAAAATCATAAATTAAGTGATATTAATTTTCATGTATTTATTTATTTTTGCTTTAACAAGAGTTAGCCAATTGATTTTTTCTTAAATTTTTTAAAATAAAAAAATTATGGAATTTAAATTGGGAACTTGGAACTCTCACAAAACTTGTGAGTTAGAAGCCCAATTTCCTTTATATAATATAGATTTTTTTTTTAAAAAGTCAAAAAATTAACTTTTAACCTACTTCTCAAAATAGGCTATTGGCTAACTTTCATACTATCCACGTGGACACACCAAACCAAACGTTGTGATTTTTCATACAACAATGATAGAGACCACTAATTTTGGAGCTCTAAAAAAACCACTAATGACATGACACTCAATAAAAAAAGAAAAAAATACAACACCAAGATCAAAATATCAAATCATTTATAGTGGAGCCCACTGCCACATCTTTAGTGATAGCACTAATTAGTGCTCTTACTCATTTTCGTTTTTCATAAAGCGATTTTAGACTAATTACTTGTATGCTTGAATTTTTTTTAAAAGTGATTATCATAACTATTTTACTATCACTATTGTACTCTAAACTTTTGTATAACCATTTGAAAAAATTATTTTAAAATTACTTTACGAAAAAAACTTAAAAAAATCTAGACCCTGTTTTTATTATTATTAGTTTTTTTTTTTTAAACTGTCTTTGATATGATTTGTTAGACCTCTAATGCAGCTACTTTAAGAGCATCTCTAATGGTGTACCAAATGTTTCACCAAATCTGAGTTAAAAAGGGGTCATTTCCTTAATTTGATATTTCGCGCTCCAACGGTTCAACATCAAATCCGTTTCATCAAATTTGCGCTGGGCAACAGGTTGGTTGACCGGCCGGTCGACCGGTAACGGCAAAAAAATATATATATATATATATTTTTTTACCGGTTTGAACCTTTTTTTTTTGAACTTTTTGAACTTTTGGTGGTCGACCGGGTGGTCAATCGGCCGGTCGACCGGGTGGCCGACCACCTAGGCAAATTTTATTTATTTATTTATTTTTTTTGCTGGTTTGAACCTTTTTGTGAACGGTCTGAACTTTCTCCAGGGCGACCGGTTGATTAACCGGTTGGTCAACCGGATGGTCGACCCGTTCGTCTCATCCCAACGGTCCGGAACAGTGATTTGGTGAAATGCTTCGCTTGCACTCAGTTTGGTACCATTTTTGCTGAATTCTGGATTTGATATTCATTTGATGCAATGGTTGGAGCATGAAAAAGTACATTTTTCATCAAAATTTAAATCTAATATCAATTTTGGTTCAGCGTTGGAGATGGTGTAAGCCCAAGAAGCTTATGGTTTTGGTATAGTGAAATCAAAAAATATTAATCAGAAAGATCCAAATGCTATCCATTATATTTTAATATGTAATGTAGATATGCATCATTCCTACCTTAAATAATACACGCGCGCGCGCGCGTAGATATGCATAGTAAGAGTATTAATTAATAAAATTTAAAATAACATCACATTTAATTCGGTGGTATTATATGCATCAATAAGTGTATTAATTAGTGTACCAATACTAGTTATGACATTATTATCGACCCCACTCATTATACAAATTATAAATATAAAAAATCTCTTAAATTATATTACATTATTAATTAATATATTAATTAATACATATAGTATTATTCCATTTGATTAACAGGCAAAAAAGTAAAGAGATTAGATTAGTCATCTATCATGGAACTCAAATTTTCAAATTTCATTACACATTTCAACACGATAATGTGTCAAAATAGGAGTGAGCATCGGATATATCATTCGGCCCAAATCGACTGAATCGAATCGATCCGTCGTATTTTGGACAGATGCGTAATGACGAGCGGACGACTCTAGATTGATTTTTTTCAATCCGTCTAGTTTTGCATAGATGGTGAATTTGAGATTCCTTTGGTCGCAACCGAACCGCCAAACCGCGAGCACCTCTAATAATTTGTAAGACTTTGTGGGGTGCTAATAGCACCACTCAAATATCATGTAGAATATTAGTAATTTTTTGAATAAATTACTTTCACATCCCTAAAATTTGGGTTTAATACATATCACCCGTTGGAGTTTGAAAAATTACACTAAGCCCTTGTCATTGTAATTATTTAGATAAAATAAAAATATTGAACTCATACACTCTCTCTTTTCTTGTTTTACTTTACTTCCTCTGATTTATTTTATTTTATTTCCCTTGCTTTACTTTTTTTTTTTCAATATAATTTGCTCTATTTTTTTTAGGAATTGTTACCTTTTATATAAGTAAGGAGATTTGTGAAATGAGACTATTAATTATAGGGATAAAAAATTAATTTTCAGACAATTAGAAGGTAAGATGTAATTGGGCCCAAATTCAAAAAAATTCCAGTGTAAGTTATCCAATGTTTTTAAAACTTCTAACATTGCTGAAGCAAATATACACATTGAAAGTTATAAAAATTTAAAATTTTAAACCTAATCACTAAAATTTTCTCTAACTTGGGGCAAGAAGACAGGTTTGGGCTAGACACCCGACCCAAGCGAACCGTTACACGTATACCTCATTGGTTTATCCTTTTTTTTCTTTGAAGACTCCTCCCTCTCGCTCAACTCTCTCTCAACTCTCTCTCTCTCTCTATATCTGTTTAATTTTCTTTTCCGAGTTACCGATTGCTTTTGTGAAAACCCAAAGCACTTCATTCTCACCAAACCCTAATCTTGAAGCAAACATCGATCTTCAGATTTCATCTCCAACTCCTTTCAGGTCACAAGGACCTTGTCCACGATCCAACACGACGGCTTCATCAGGTAATTATCGTTATAATTATCGATTTATTTACTTTAATCATCTAAGGCTTGATCAATTTGATCGAAATTCTTTTTTTTTTTTGGAAATCGATTTCAATTTGGAGTCTGTTTGGATGCCTAGAAAATTCTTTAGTTGTTTTTCGAGAATTTTCCCGTACTAGTTGTGGAATTTTAGCTCCAAGTTAGTGGATTGAAAGAGGTATTTACTTCTGCTAACTAAAGCTTATAGTTCTTGAAATCTTTATACGCATATTTGTGTGTGTGAGGGTTGTACGACCTTGATATGGAATGGTACAGCATTGCATTATCCACCGTTGGTTTGACAGATTGGATGGATCATTTATAATGGTTTGTTATGTTGAGTTTGAGTACCTAATCCTAGTTACAGAATTAGGATATATTAATCTGCACGAGTTCTGGGAATCCAAGTATCAAATTACTTACCTTTGTTAGTTATAACAATCCTTGGCAAATGATGACAAATCGATGATTTGGGATTTTTTGGGACAAACACGTAATTGGTGGGGTGCATTTTTGGTTTATATATATATATATATGCAGATATATGTTTGTGTTCAAGAGATGACATACATTTCTCATGGCTCCTCAGCATCATTCTGCCCCTAGTCTGGGCTTGTGAAACATTCCTGACAAAGTTAGCTAAGGAAGCAAGTTTTTTTTTTTTTATGGACCTAGTTCTGGTGTATACTTATAGCAATATAGGGCCAGGTTGTTGCTGAGTTTGTTTCCAGTGGGAAAAAGTTACAGCGTGTTTACTAATTCAAATACATCTTTACTAATTCAATTTTTGTTCCTTTTGTTCCTTTTTTGATTTTTGTTTTGTGTTTTTGGATATCCAACAGGAACCATGTCTCGTTCGCGGACTTACCATTCACGAGGTGACCCTTTCCTCGGTGGGTGTAGGTCCTACTTCAATAGAAACCACTCTACCATCCCCAGTACCAATAATTTGAACAATTATAATGACAATGGCAACTGCATTAGAAATTACTACAATTTCCATGACTATTCAATGCTGTTTAACGAGTATAACCACCATGCTAATTATGTTAAGGATGACCCTGCACCTTCTTTGAAAAGGAGAAAATTTTCTGCCTCTTCTTGGGAAGACAGTCGGAGACACTTGCAACCCAATGCTTATAATAATGGCCCGTCTACATGTGACAACAATTTAGTCCTTCCTGCTCCTTCAAGACCCGATGCCAATGTATGCATGCCTACTGCCAGTAAGCGTAATCGCGCAAAGTTTGAGGATGATGATGTGGTCTTTATGTCGAGGGATGAGATTGAGAGATGCTCTCCATCGAGAAAAGATGGTATTGATGCACTGCATGAAACACACTTGCGTTACTCGTATTGTGCTTTCCTTCAGAATCTTGGATTGCGATTGGATTTGTAAGCTCTTTGTCTTTGCATTTACATCTTTAATTATATTTCAGAAGCTAGGGTTTCTGTCTAGCCAGTGTATTTGAAATATTGAATAATGGTCAGTGGAAGTTATTTTGTATTGTGCATTCATAAAAGTCCTTACAAAAAGTTATTCTGTTTCTGGACTTGCTTGCAGGCCACAAACCACTATTGGCACTGCAATGGTATTATGCCACCGTTTTTTTGTTCGAAGATCTCATGCTTGTCATGATAGATTTGTGAGTTGCTCATTTCTCATGCTTAATTTTTGCAAAATCTGTGTAAACTTGTTTTATAGGATGCCAGTGAGAATTTGCAAAAATAATTTCATGTTCTTTGTGAAACATTTCCAGGTATAGCTTTTATTCGATTTTGTTTTGTTTTTTCGGATGTGACCTTTTCTGAAACTAGAATGTAATTACCTTTTAGAGGTGGAAGATTTAGCCATTCTTTTGCAAAATATATACATTAATTAAACAACCATAATGATTGATGTGTCTGTGTGTGTGTGTGAATTTTTCTTTCTAGTATCATTGGATTGTGCAATTTGTTATCGGTAACTTTGTGAAGACAACTAGTTGATTTTGTCATAAAGATTCCATTTACTTGGATTCTTCCTTCTTATCCCTGGGCTGATGTGTGCTTCGTATTGATTTTCAGTCAATTTTTATTTTGCATCTACAATGAAGAGTTTGTTGTTGTTGATTCAATTCTCTTGCAGTTGATTGCTACTGCTGCTCTGTTTTTGGCGGCAAAGTCTGAGGAGACGCCATGCCCTTTGAACAATGTGTTGCAAGCATCATGTGAAATTTTCCACAAGCAGGACCTCGCTTCCCTCTTTTATCTGCTCCCCCTTGTGAGTATCATTTTGGTGATTTACCTGTCTTTCTCAATTCCTCCCCCATCTCAAGAAAGGAAAAAACCAACGAAAGGGGGGAAAGTACTCTTTTCTTTTTTTTTTTTTTTTTTTTTTTGTGGGTTTTTTGTGAAGCACAGTAACAGGTGCATGTAAAATTTCATTTCACGGAGAAATGCCGTCTGTTTTGGACCCTTAAAGATTTGTTTCTTGATGAAATTCCAACTTATGATTTCACAACTACATAATAGGTGTCTGTTTTAGTTATTTATTTATTCAATTTGAAGTGTATACTTCAATGTCACAAATGAATGAAAACTTCTAGCATGACCAAATGATATTACAAGTGTCTTTCTGTTGTGCAATTTGGATGGGTAGTTTCTTCAACATGTCTACTTTAAAATTTAAGGCTATACAATGAATCATGTTTTTGGACATATGTGGACCAACTGGATCACTTTTGAGGATATACATTTGTTATGCATAAAACGTTGTCATGCTTTTGATTTAGGCGCGTTTGAGCTAGTGTGTCTAATATGCTTTCCTAACATGATCACTTGTTGAATAGGATTGGTTTGAGCAGTATCGGGAACGGGTGATTGAGGCTGAGCAATTGATATTATCAACTCTTAATTTTGAGCTTAACGTTCAGCATCCATATGCTCCACTTACATCCATTCTTGACAAAGTAGGCCTGTCACAATCAGTTTTGGTGAATTTGTCACTGTATTTAATCAGTGAAGGGTAAGTTTATTACTTCTATAATTTTCATGGTTTTGTAAAAAATACAATTTATGCCAAGAGTTTCACAAGTGCACTGTTTGTTGTATTGGTTACTTCAGGATGCTTTAAGGCAATATTAAATAGCAAGGATTGAGTGCCTGCCAATTTTTTTATTTGGTTGTGCAGACCTGGAATTTTCAATGTATACTTATGCAATAATCTTGACTGTGTTCTCTCTTAGACATTTTCTGTTGGCGCTGGTTTTAAATAATCTATCAAAGAGCTGGTTGGAATGTTGTTTCAGATTTGCTTGTCTGGTTGTTATTGTTAATTTTTTATTTTTATTTTTATATTTTGGACTGTGGGTGTCTGAATTTCAATCAAGTTTGCATACCTAATTTTTGAAATGATGTTATTTGTGTGTTGATAGTTTTGTTGTTGCCTCTTGTGTAATTGCTCTATGTAGTTGTTGTGGCATGGGATATTGATTTTTTGGATTGATAAATAATTGCAGGGTCTATACAAGATTAGCGTGCTGGCCTGTATGATATTCTTAGCCGGCGGATTGATATGCTGTTCATGGAAAGTTTTGTTTTACATCTAAAGTTGAACCACCGATGTGTTTGTGGATACTGTTCAATAAATATATCTTATAGTCATTGGCTATAGAAGATAGCCACAGATGTTTCAGAATCAGTTTTGCCATCTTGCTTTGATTTCTCTGTGGTCATATGAAATCAGTCATGTGGGTTTCATTCAATGTTGTTTCCCCATCTTGTCGGTGTGCAATGTCCATATAGGGCACTGTTAAATAGGCAAAAGAAGCCAGAAAAATGTGCTTAGCTGAATATATTTTTTGACTTGCCCATTGGCTATAGAAAGATGCAACAAATGCTCCAGAGCCAGTTTTTCCATTTCACTTTGACTTCTTTGTGGTCATAGAATCAATCATGTGAGTTTCATTCAATGTTGTTTCCCATATGAATGGTGTCAATATAGGACATTGTCGAATAGGAAAAAAGAAGATAGAAAAAGGTATTTGGGCGAGTTTTATAGGACATTGTTGAATAGGAAAATAGAAGCTAGAAAAAGGCCTTTGCTTTGGTGAATTGATTGCAACATGGGTTGCTTATTGAGCACAAGATATGGGCATTTGTTTTGGTGGTTTAATTGATTACAACATGGGTTGCTTCTTTCTTCTACCTTTTTCTATTTGAAATTTTCCTGCAGCAGAACTGGGCTTGGGAGTTGATGTGTTCTCTAGATGGGTATAATATGTTTGCTATATAGTTTTGGTACTCTCTTGGTGATTTCGCAGAACATTGTTGGAAAAATATTTCTCCTGAGTTGCTGCTTTATCGGTTGGTAAGGGAAAATTGCCTTGGCTTGCTTTTTTATTTTTTTATTTAATTACTTGGAGCTCTTATTATATTGTTTTTAATTTATTATTTTGTTTTATTTCTGATTTATATGGTCAGCCCAATTTTTTTTTTGAAGCTGATGTATGTGTTAATGTGGTGAATATACTATGTTGTACGAGACATTGCTTCTTCGTTTTAATGTTGGTCCAGATGGGTTTGTCTGATTACCCATTCATTTCTTAATCAATGCTAAACAGTGATTACTTTCGTATTTCTTTTATGCAGTATTAAAGTTGGACATTGTTATGCAGGCTTCGAAGCTCACTGTGGCTTCAATTTAAACCAGATCAGATTGCTGCTGGAGCTGCATATCTAGCTGCCAAATATTTAAATATGGATCTTGCTTCGCGCCAGAATATCTGGGTGGAGTTCCAAGCATCTCCATTTATTCTTGAAGGTATACTATATATTACGCTGAATATTGCTCTTTTTTTCTTATATTTATTATCAGCAGACACTAAAGTTATTAAACCATTAAATTTGTTGAAGATTTAGCAGAATCCCAACTTGCTGTTTTCAAATGTCACCTTACATGGTGTTTATGGATTTGGAGATTTTTGTCTTTAATTAAGCTTTTTAGGCCTAGGCATGTACTTTCAGAATTGCACTTGATTGGTGTTATATGCAACTCTAATCCAATTGATATAAAAATCAAAACAATTTCCCGTTGCATCTGAACTCATTTACGTGCATTAATGCTTAGCCAATAAACTCAATAATATTCATCATAAATTTTTATTTTATTATTTTATTTTGGATTGTATGAGAATCTTCTTTCCTATATGTTTTATACTTATATGATTTTGATTATTTGGTAACGTTATGCGACTATTTGATGCCATGCCAGATGTAGCGCAGCAGTTGATGGAGCTATTTTAGAAGATGACAAAAGATGACTATATAGTGGACTGCTGCTGAGCTTGATGGTTAATGTTAGCTATGTGGGTATATATATATATATATGTTAGTTCATTTTATTTTTCGAGTATGGCTTTTAATGATGATTCATATATACTAGTTCATTGTCGGATAGGTGATGTTAATTTTCAAGCTTTACCAGTGCACTTGCTGTACAAATTAGGGTTTGAAAGGAGAGTTGTAATGCAGATGAATGGTGGCATTTGTCTCCCCTTTTGAACTATGGGATTGGTGACTTCAAAAGAGAATTTTCGATGATAATTTCTTGGACTTTTCTCATGTGTGCCTTGCATATGGTATGCAAGGTACTTACACCCTTCTATTTTGCATTTACACATTTATATGTATTGGGTTATATCAAAATATTTGGAAACTTACACATTGGTGACCTGCTAAGCAGGTCACTTTCCAGGTAAATTAATAAAATAATATATTATATGACTAAAGGTGCTTGGCCCAAGCGTCGGGCGTCCAACCAACTTCTATTACTCGGCCCAGGCATTGGGCGTTCGACAAACTTTTATTGCTCGGCCCAGGCATTGGGCGTCCAACCAACTTTTGTTGCTCGGTCCACTTCAAAGTGAGCATTAGGTGTCCGGCTAACTTTCGTTGCTCGGCCCACTTCGGAATGGGTGTTGGGCATCCAATTAACATCCATTGCTCGGCGCGCTTAAGAGTAGGCATTGGGTATCCAACCAACCGTTGTTGCTCGGTCGAAGCGTTGGGCGTCTGACACACTTTTATTGCTCGGCCCAGGCATTGGGCGTCCGACAAACTTTTGTTGCTCGGCCCAGGCATTGGGCGTCCGACAAACTTTTGTTGCTCGGCCCAAGCTTTAAGGGTCTAACTAACTTCTATTGCTCGGCCCAAGCGTTGGGCGTTTGACCAACTTTTGCTACTCGGCCTACTTCGAAGTGGACATTCGGAGTCCAACCAACCTCCATTGCTTAGCTCGCTTCAAAGTGGGCGTTGGGCATCCAACCAACCTCTATTGTTCATCCCTCTTTGTAGCTCTTCCACTTCGTATCACTTTCGTTAGGCTGAGGTCCTTTTGTAATGAAACTTTAAGTTAATAAAGTATCTTCGAAATTTGCCAAGTGTTGGACTTGTAACTCGAACTTTCAATTTCTTCATGTTTATGTTGTTTGCCCCCAACCGAGCAACAAGGATGTAGCCCTACATTGTTCGTTGTTCGACTAGACTTCGCCTTATGCCTTTGAAAAGTTAAGTTGCTCTTCCAGTCGAGCAATAATAGGGAAACCTTGCAATATTTCCCGTTTGGCCTTAATTGAATTAGTTGTCTTGCCCCAATCGATCATCATCTCTTTCATCGGAGTCTTTTAGAATGAGGCATTAGAACGACTAAACAATAGTACAGTGGTGTACGTCGTGTCTAGACTTCATCTGTCGGTGCAGATCTGGTCTCTCTATATCCATTAGTGTAGATCTAGTTTTCCGGCACTCTTCGAAGTGTTAATTTGTTATCCTTTGTCTTCTCTGTCAACAAAGTCCTTTTCCACAGTGGCAACAAAGGTATCTCTTTCGTTCCCCTCACCAGAGCTTGTCATAGAACAGTGTGGTACTCTCTCCCTTTGGTCGCGGTTGTCTCTATCAAGGGAGCTATGTTGGGGTGACTCGCCGACGATGACATGACATTGCTCTACTACATCGGTGCTCTATTCGTTAAGGCCTGCAAGGTCTTCATGCCTTCTAGGGAATGCTGGACCGTTATCTTTGGTTCTCTCTGTCATTGGAGTCCTCTCTGCTAGCCCAGAATAGGGTGTATCTTCGATTCCCATCGCCGGAGGTCGTCACGAAGCAAACAGTGGTTTTCCCACAGACGGCGCCAATTGTGCGGGGGTGATTTCCGCACTATGAAGAAGGGTTGAACTTCGTGGATGAACACCGTGCTCCGGGAATTGAAGATCTGCACAGAGTAACAAACGGTGAGGCTGCCCGACCGGGGTTTGGTCGGAAACCCCTCCGATGGTAAAGTCAGGGACTCAGGGAGAGGAAAAAGAGAGAATACAAAGAGTATATGTGTTGAGTGTGTCCATTTTCGAATCCCTTCAGAGTGAATAGTGTTCACCTTTTATAGGAGAAGGTTGTTTGTCGTTCAAGTCCTTCTCTCTCCGCCATCTGTCCAACGTGTCTTATTCGTGGTCGTCTCCTATTGGAGGAGGACGACCACTCCGCCTGACACTCGGGTGCAGGTCTGTTTTGTTTGTCTCATTAGCGGACATCTCTCATGGAAGAGGACGACCACTCCGCCTGCCATTCAGACGCAGGTCTATCATATATGCTCCTTGTCCCTCTGCACCTCCATGTCTCCACGTTATGTTCATACAGAGGGAGAGGAGCAGAGTTGTTTGTCTCTAGTGGACCCAAGAAAGATCTTCAGTGAATTGGCCTTCTCTAAGTTGGTCTGCTCTAGAACGGTTGTCCAACCAGGAGGTCCAACATGTTGCTCAACCCACTTCGGAGTGGTTCTATCCATCCAGAAGGTCCAATATGTTGCTCAGCCCATTTCGGAGTGGTTCTGTCCATCCAGAAGGTCCACCATGTTGCTCGGCCCACTTTGGAGTGACGCTCGTACATTGGGCCGAACTCCTATGATTATCTTACTTCGGAGCAAGTGTTGGCCATAGGGCCGAGGTCCGACCTAGCTCCACCTTGGAGTGAGTATTGCATTGGGCCTAGCACCAAGACTTGATTAATTTTCACCCACTTCAAGCCTCGTTCACCATTTCTCCCTGGAATGACAATGTATTCCTCTTTACCTTTGAGGACAGTGAGAATCGTTGCTGGGTTCTGTAGGAGGCCCCTTGGTCCATTATGAGCCATTTGTTGGTTCTTCAACCGCTGGTGGCCGGCCTCCCTATCTCCGACATTCAGTTCACTTGGTGTCCTTTTTGGATCCAAATCCGTGGCTTACCTTTAGAGAAGATGATGAAGGCTAATGGAGAAATTATAAGTCACAAGCTTAGGCAGTTGCTTCGGGTTGAAGCTCATTGTGAGGGCCTTCTCCTCTATCGAAATTTTCTTCGCATTCGTGTTGAGATTGATGTCACTAAGCCTCTTCCCAGAGGGTTTCATTTGAACAGGGGTGTCTCCTCCCCAGTGGCAGGGGTCTCTTCTTGGATCTCTTTCAAGTATGAGAAGCTCTCCGATTTCTGCTTTGATTGCGGCCGGATTGGCCATGAGCGAACTGGGTGTAAGTTTGTATCTCAGGACAAGGGGCGAGCTTCAGGGTACGGGCCAGACTTGCACACTAGTATAGCCCGCAGCTCGGGTCTTCCGATTGAGCATTACCGGAAAACAGTGGATGATATGGACGCTCGACTACAGCCACTTCTATCCCGCTATCAACCGCCTCCACCTTGCTCCGACTCAGTGGTGGCGCGTGCGGAAGCACTGGATAAGATGGTGGCTAATAGTACTGGGACTGTTTCAAGGTCGGGGGTGTTGGCACGATCAGTGGAACGTACTTCTGGCAAGGAAGTGGAGATTGTGGAGTCGTTGGGGCACAGAAAGGACAAAGGGGATATTCTTGAGCATTCTGATTGCACGGCACTTGCATCATGTGTGGCTGATTCGAGGGCCCCAGTTTTGTCTCCAGTGGATGGGCTACGACTTCAAAGTCACTCTTTAGCAGGCTCTGAGCCTTTTCCTCTTGAGCCATCAGTGCCAACAAGGCCCAACTATTTTGTGATAGAACCTACGGAGGGCCTCTCACTCCATGCTCCAGAACCTCTCCCAACTATCTTGGATCGACCCATCAATATTGTGGAGATGAGTCCACCTTCAAGCCCAAAACAGGTAGCTTTAAAGACTCTTGTGCTGGATGATTGTATGTCTATTGTTTTTAATTCCTTATCACTAAAACGAAAGGCTCCTGAGGATGTGGAAGCTCCTGGCAGAGGCCCTAAGCTGATTAAGAGTTCTGAACTCACAAATATTCCTGTAGCTCTGTTGGAATTTCCTTCCCCTAGTGTTCCTAAGGCAGCCTTAGGGCGAGTTAGAGTCTCTCCCAAAAGTAAGATAGCCAAAGGTCTTCGAATGTTTCAGGCTCGTCGTCTCCAGCTATATGTTCCTCTTCGGTACCTGGCATAACACGCCGTGAGCTTTGAATGCCCAGTAAATACACACACACCCCCAACCCTTTTTCCCGAGTCCAATACACAATCACAAATATAACATCAAGTAGTAGAGCATGATACATAACTCAACAAATAAATAAATGGTTACAAGTTAACTGTTAGTAAACTAGAAATCCACCAAAGAGATTTCGTCCTCCCAACCACAAGAATTGGACTCGGATTATTCGGTATGCCCTTTTTTTGCTGCTTTGTTGCAGAACTAATAATAAGTTATTAGTCATTCTAAGAATAATCACAAATATATCATCAAGTAGTAGAGCATGATACACAACACAACAAATATTTTTAACTTTTGTTTAAGAAAAATTAAACAAAAATATTTGTTAAAAATTTAATTAAATAACCCTTATTAAAAATTTAAATATTTCTAAAGTATATATCAAAAGAAAAATATGTTACAAGAACCCTAAGACATGTATTTGAAAAAGGGAAAATGAAAGAGAAGGTTGTGTTGTGGCTTACATGCTAAGCTTTGAACAAGATGGCTCTCTTCTCCCTTCCTCTTCCTCTCAAAATTCCTCTCTTGTTCTCTTTCCTCTCCTTAGGTCGAATGTGGAAGTGTGAGAGTGTTGCTTGGTGATATTTATAGGCAACCTTGGCGTAGTTGGTATTGAAAGGTTGTCATTATAGCCTACTAGTTAGGATATGAAGGAACCACTACTTGAAAAATGAAAGGACCCTAGCCCACTAGTTAGGTTATGAATGAACCACTACTTTGAGATTTAAATGAACACTAATTGATATTAAATGAACACTAAACACTAATTGATATTAAATGAACACTAACTAGAATTAAATGAACACTAACTACACTAAGTATCTATTTAACTGTTAGTAAAAGTTACGTCAATAGTGAAGCAACAAAATATTTTTAACATAGCAAATAAAAATATTTCATCAGTCAGCACATTTCTTACCTTATAGGATGACCGACACTTTAGAATCCATGTGCAGGCTCTACATTGGAGAGATCATTCGACTACATGGAATTCCAGTATCTATTGTGTCAGATCGTGATCCTCGGTTCACCTCTCGATTCTGGGGAAGCTTGCAGGAAGCTCTTGGTACTGAGTTATGTTTTAGCACCGCCTTTCACCCGCA